AGGAAATTATACTGACCACCAGAAAGTGTCTGAAAGTGTCTGCTGGTACATCAGGCATGATTGTAATCAGGAAACAGCTTGGCCTGGTGCCAGGTTTTCCAGAGTGTATTTGTGGAAGAGTAGTTCTATGTAGTTTATGATTCTAGGACTAAGGCCAAAATAAAGGTCCCACCATCACATAATAAGTTCAGGGTATGTAGGGTTGAAAAGGTTTCTTTACTGCAGGACTTCTCAGAGCCTTTAATATATGAACATACACTGTGAATCTCTCAGAAAGAGCTGATCACTATTTCCCAAACAGCCCAGCAAGGAGCCCTTTTGAAGTAAGGCATCTCAAGAACTATTGTTCCTAACTGCCTAATGCTGGCCCAGTGGAGCCTTGGGTTTAGAAGTCAGACAACAGGAGTTTGAATTCTCAGCTAGTCATTAATTCCTCTGTGCCTCAGTTTCCTCATAAGAAAACAGAGATAATAATGCATATCTTACTGACTTATACTGAGGACTTAGTGGTGGGAAAAAACTGGCTTGAACGAAGACCAACTCTTTTTAGCTGATAAGTTAGGAGGGGGCATGCATGGGTGGGGACCCATTGTATTTGTTCAAGTCTCTTTCTTTAGAATGCTTTGTCTGGGGCCTCCCAAAGACTAAACCCCTTGGGTACCTACAGGTTCTGCGATAACTGAGAGTCACAAAGCAATGGGCTCTTCTCCCTTGAGAGCTCTAAGATCTGAACGAATGCTATACCAGCAATCATAATGGTAGCTAAAATCACTACTATTGATTAAGGGACTACTATTTACCCAGCACAGCAGGTGCTTTATATTTCTATTATTTCAGTTCACTCTCACAGCAAACTTTCAAGGTAGTATTGTCATCTCCATGTTACAGATGAACAAAACTGAGACTCAGGAGGTAAATAACATACTCCCTGGCGTAGCTGATTAGTGGCAGAACTGAAGGCTCGCTCTGTTTAATCATTAAAGAACAAAAATGTCTTCCCACTAAAAGGCTATGCTTTGGTTTCAGGATCTAATCTGACCACTTTGCATAATAACTAAATCACTAAAGAGAATTTTGGACACTGTAAGGAATTCTGTTTCCAGTCTCACAGATAGCTGGAAACCTCTAAGATGCCAAGGAGCCAAGGGAGCTAAAGGAAGATTTCTAAATATGAAGGAATGCAGTAGAGTTTGGAGAACACTCCCTGAGGGGACCTAGAAGGGTTTCTGGAAGGATCCCTTCCCTCATTTTCTAGCTCTCAACCCAAGTGACCATGGAGTTTTTCCAAATATCAAGTTCATTTGACATAGGCCACAAACCTTCAGATTGCCAAGTCATCTGTACATCTTCTTCAACTGATGGCAACTGATTTACAACCAGCATCTCTGAGAACAATCATTCCGAGAAATTGCAAAGCAGTAAGATATACTCCAACGAATACACATTCCCTGTTCCATTGCCACACAATATATGTTTATGATGTAGGCTTCTGCTTGCCCCAAATCGCTAAGAATAAACAAACATATTACCTGTTTCTTCTGTTTGGCCAATGCAGAGGTTTTTTTTCTCACCCCAGGTGTTTCAAAAGAAATGAAGACGAGAAAGAAAAATTCTCTATGGTGGAATGCAGAGGTCTAAAAGAAAAGAGGTACAATTTCAGCTCTCTCTGAAGCACCCCCCAACACACACACAGCCCCCACTCTGCAGAGAGAGCTCTTGCTTAAACAAACAAACATATATACACACTCATACAAAAAGAAATAACTAGAACAGGGCCAGGCTGCCCTGCCTTTCAGCCTGGAAGGCGAGCCCAGAGCCAGGAATCTAGGATTCAGTGCGCTGGCTGTGAGTGCAGCTCTCTGCCCCAGCCCTGCTCTGTTACTGGCCTGAAGATGTGCTCAAGTAGTGGGCTGCAAAGTCAGCAGCCACGTGACTACTTCCAAAGGGACCAGGCTCTGTATGGGCAGGACCAGGCTACTGTTTGCATAAATAATCTGCCATCCATACAAAATAGAAAAGAGAATTTCAGTAAATAAGAGCAGAAAAGCACTGTTTGTTTATTTTTTTCTTTTTTTGAGACAGAGTCTTGCTCTGTCACCAGGCACCAGGCTGGAGTGCAGTGGCGCAATCTCGGCTCCCAGTTTCAAGCAATTCTCCTGCCTCAGCCTCCTGAGTAGCTGGGACTACAGGCATGCGCCACCACGTCCAGCTAATTTTTGTATTTTAGCAGAGATGGGGTTTCACCATGTTGGCCAGGATGGTCTCAATCTCTTGACCTCGTGATCCACCCACCTCGGCCTCCCAAAGTGCTAGGATTACAGGCGTGAGCAACCACCCCCGGCCCAGAAAAGCATTCTTTAGGTAAACTGAGGATAATTTTTAGAAAACGTTACAGTAGCCTGGTACAATTGAGAGAAGGAACTGGAAAAACTAAACATTCTTGCTTGGTTCTAGAAAGGTGTGGGTTTAAGGGAGCAGCCACTGGGTCCTAAGACATTGGTACTCTACCAGCTGTTCAATAGCTCCTTGTTGGAGGACCTATCTGTGAAGGGAGAATCACCTCCCTTTTGCTGCAGAGAGGGGAAGGAAAGTTGGCCTATAATGCTGCTGGGTTTGGGAGAGGAGGAAGACATACTTGAAAATTCAAAGTGCCCCTGGCAGTAATGGACACCAGCAGCCACAGTTCTGCTATGTTCGAGGCAATCTAGCGGTGCTCTTGTTCCCAGAGGCTCACGCTGACCACGGCTGCACCACCAGCACTTTCCCTGGCAAACTCTTCCCAGCTGGTGACACAGCATCCATGTTTTCAAGCTTACTGGTCTTAGGTTTCGCCAGCTAAAATTTACAGGACTCCAGCCATAACCATTTCATAACCCCACCCAAGCTGCTCTTTAGCAAGATTCCTTTCTGCAATTGAGAGCCACAGGAGATCTAGTAAAGTGGTTACCTAGTTTGCCATTTAATCGGATGGAGTCACTTGAAAAATAACTGGTGAGGTGGCTCTGGGCTTCTGCCCTCCTATTAGTATATTAAACATCACCAGAGGGCCTCATTATGAGGCAATATAACCATTCAGGTTTCCATGGTGGGGACGCCAAGAGTAGGACCTGATGAGGCTGCCACACAAATTGTAAATGATAGCATAATTACTGAGGCTCCGAAAAAACAGTGGACAATGTAGCTATACAGCTGGCTCTCCCAGCCAAATGCCTATTCAATCCTTAGCCATTTAAATGATGGCTATGTCTAGATACAGTTATTCCAATGTCACCTCCTCTGTGTGAGGCCTTTCCTGAATCACCAATGGGGAATTAGTCACTCTGTCTTCTGGCTCTCAAAGCCATGTGTGCGTCCAATTATAGAGCTGCTCAAAGTGTTATATAATTTGCCCTTTATACATGTGAAATCCTAAAGGGAAAGGATCTATTTCATTCCTCTTGGCATCCCCAGTTGTGTGGTGCTTTTTCTTTTTCTTTTTTTTTTCTTTTGAGACACAGTCTCCATCTGTTGCCCAGGCTAGAGTGCAGTAACGCGATCTGGGCTCACTGCAACCTCCACCTCCCACGCTCAAGCGATTCTCCTGTCTCAGCCTCCCAAGTAGCTGGGATTACAGGCGTACACCAGCACACTTGGCTAATTTTTGTATTTTTAGTAGAGATGGGATTTCACCATGTTGGCCAGGCTGGTCTCAAACTCCTGGCCTCGGGTGATCCGCTTTGACCTCCCAAAGTGCTGGGATTACAGGTGTGAGCCACTGCACCTGGTCACATCCTCAGTTTTAAACCTACTCGTTACTGAATGCAAAAGAGGTACTCACCAAATATTTGTTTAACCACAGAAAGAAAGGAAAGCAGAGAAAAAGCTCATGATTTAGTTGGTTATTTTAATGGCCAGCCCCTGGACCATGAATTGGATTGGCTGTGCCCTTTATGTGATTTGTTGAAAACTTAGAATTTGCTTTAAATGAACAACTTCACTGTATTTTTCTATTGTACAAAGAACACTGAAATGTTACTTTGAGTACCACTGGGGTCTTATAGTCAGCCTCCGATTGTTAAATGAACCAACATTGATGTAAGTGAATAAATCACCATAATGATAACATCTATCGAGCACTGACCATGTTCTAGGCACTTTTAAATTTGACATACGTTAACCTTATTTCATCCACACCCCATCCTCTGAGGTATATACTATTATGATCCCTCTTCACCCATTAGGAACTGTAGCCTAGAGTCAAACAGCAAATGAGGGGCAGAACTGGGAGTTGATCCCGGGCACTTTGGCTCTAGAACCCCTGCTTATTATAATCATTACTCTCTACTGCCTTATGTGTTTACAAAATTCCAGCTTCAGCCTCTTCTCAAATGCTCTCTGGCTTTCCTATAGCTGAGTGAAGCTGTGTTCTCCCAACCTGAAAAAAGAAACAATAACGAGCAGAATGATGTTAAGTTTTTTTTTTTGTTTGTTTTTTGTTTTTTTTGAGACGGAGTTTCGCTCTCGTTACCCAGGCTGGAGTGCAATGGCGCGATCTCGGCTCACTGCAGCCTCCGCCTCCTGGGTCCAGGCAATTCTCCTGCCTCAGCCTCCTGAGTAGCTGGGATTACAGGCACGCGCCACCATGCCCAGCTGATTTTTTGTATTTTTAGTAGAGACGGGGTTTCACCATGTTGACCAGGATGGTCTCGATCTCTTGACCTTGTGATCCACCCGCCTCGGCCTCCCAAAGTGCTGGGATTACAGGCGTGAGCCACCGCACCCGGCCCGATGTTAAGTTTTAAACCTACTCGTTAACAGATGTATACCCCTAACAGTCAAGGTAGGTCAATTTATCTCTCAATAGGCATGTCATCATTTGGAAACAGCCAATAGGAAAGGTTAGAGATGAGGTGGCTCCTGGAAAAGGCCATGGCAATGCCAAATCACCCTCACACTAAGATGCCTGGTGTCCTTCCATTCAATTCATCAAATGCTTATTGAGCACCTCCTATGCGGCAGGCACTGCTGAGGGACAGAGACACAAATGGCAGAGAAAAAAAATACATGATTGGATATTGGAATATACACACCAAGTACCTACAACAGTGTCAGGCACATAATAAATATCTATTACATGACTAAATGAAAGCAATATGGTATGATAAAATAGCTAATAAAATAGGTAGGAGCCATTCTAGGGGCACAGAGCAAAAGCCCTGTCTCAGAAACGGGGATGAGGAAGGCTTCCTAGAAGTGATGCATGGGCCGAGACCTGATGACTGACCAGGCATCAGCCAGAGGAAAGAGGTGGGAAGGGGGCTTCCATAGCTATGCATTTGCTACAGTACTTAACTAGGGTGTGAAATGGGAGAGGGGAACTAGAAATTAAAATGAACCTCTTTCCTCATGAGAATGCTGCAATAACATAAAGGTGTACAGATGTTAAGATTGAAAAATGGCTGCCCTCTCCACCTCTTCAGGCTGGACTTAATCTCTCTTGATTGCCTTCCCTTCCTTTCTCACTTCCCCACTGCCCTACTTCCTTTCTCCCTGCCTTCCAGATAAACTTCTTCCTCTCAAATGTTTATCTCAGGCTCTGCTTCTGAGGCATCCCAACCCATGACATTTAGCTAGTCCATGGCAATAGCAAACTATGGAAAGACAGAGGGGAATGGAGAAGCCTGGCTACCTCTCAAGGGAGAGAGAGGGCATTGCAGGCAAGTCTCTCCTATTTTACAAGCTTCCTGGAGCCGGCCACAGTTCCAATTTCTGCCGAGGCAAAGTAGTTCTAATGGGCAGCTCCCATTATTGATCATGACACACCCTGAGGAGTATGCTAGCATCGAGGCAAAGTAGCCAGACTGGAGAGGAGACTAAGAAAACAGCGGCATGTGCAGATCTGTTTGGTGGTAGGTACATAAGGTGTCTGCTTGTGGCTCCTGATACCTCAGTGCCTCATAGCACCAAAGTGGGAAAGCTCAGACAGGGCTGGCCTCCGAGCTCTGGTGGCTCTGATCTAGCCTCCTGATGCTGGGGCCTCTGGCAAGCAATCACACCCAATCACCATTTCCTAGCCCCCAGTAGTCTCCAAAACTGGGGTAGCTACCCCACAGCAGATGCACAGAGATCTGCTGGAGATCATAAAGCAAAACATCAGCACTCACATTTTTATCTGTTTTCTTATTCTTGTTAACTTTTCTATTTCCATGTATATTTGATTATGTACGCAATAGATCAGTTTGGCAGTATTAGCTGTAAATAAATAAATATGCTTGGTCCATTCTCACAAAACTTACTGTGAGGGGTCCATGATCAAAAAAGTTCAAAAAGGCTGGGGCTGGTAGCTCACACCTGTAATGCTAGCACTTTGGGAGGCTGAGCGGGGACGACTGCTTGAGCTGATGAGCTGGAGACCAGCCTGGGCAACATAGCAAGACCTCATCTCTATAAAAAAATAAAAATAGCCAGGTATGGTGGGACATGTCTGTTGTCCCAGCTACTCAGGAGGCTGAGGCAGGAGGATCACTTGAGCTTGCAAGATCAAGGCTGCAGTAAGCCATGATTGAGCCACTGTACTCCAGCCTGGGCAACAAAGCAAGACCTTGTCTCAAAAAAAAAAAAAAAAAAAAAAAATCAAGGGACTCTAATTCAAAGG